GACTGCTTTTTGTGCTCGGGGAGAGAGGCGACGGGGGAGGGATCGCCCCCTCCTCGCAGAAAGGCCAGCGGTCCCCTTCCTCCGGCCGGAGACGGACCCGCGCACACCCCCCTCCGAGAGACGAGCCTGGCGTTGCTTTTTCAGAGACTGGCGGGAGCGAAATGCTGCCTTTTTCCTTTTTATTTCCTGAAAAGAGAGACAGAGAAAGAGGGAGGGGGCGGGGGGGGACGGGACCACACACACCTCTGGGTTCTTTGTTACTGCCCGCTTTATACGAATACAGAGGAGGGGGAGCGATGCGTTGTGCCGAGCGCACACTGGATGTCTTGAGCGTTCGCCCTTTCGTGTGAAAGAGCGATCAGAACTGCTTGGAAAAAGGGAGAAAAAACAAACAAAAAACCCCCCACCCAAGCCTTTACAAGGTTCACGTTTTGGGGGAAGAAATCCTGTCCCGGTTTCTTCTGCGGTGAGAGGAGGCGACGATGATGGCAGGAGGAGGAGGAGGAGGTGGATGGAGCTGGACTGAGATCCTAGTTAAGCGGCGAAGAGCCAGACTTACACTTGAGAGCTGTCTTGGAAATACGGTGGGGGGAAGATAATAATAAACTGAAACGGATTTGCACGTACGGATGAAGTGGCGGCAAGCGCTTTTCTCAGTCACCCAATGTCTTGTGTCGAGAGAAAAATAAGGCCGAAACTTCAAGAACACTGAAAACTTCTTTTGCAACAGAGACCGAATGGGAACAGTTTCTGTCATGATGTGGTACAGGGGAAATGGAGGGCGATGGCTTTTGCAAAAAAACCCGAAAATAAAAAAAAAAAAAAAAAAAAAAAAAGTAGTTTTTTTCTTCTTACTCAGAATCGTGATGGTGTTGGATTATTTCACTGGTGGGGTTTAATACAGCATGTTATCCTGTCTATCTTTCTAAGATTTCTGTAAGACTGTTGAACAGTTTAAAAAAAATAGTGTTAGGATAATATAAAAGCAGATAGATGGCGCTATGTTTGATTCCTACAAAAATATCACCAGCTTTTTTTCATTCTTAACTCTTTAAAGGATTCAAACGCAACTCAAATCTGTGCTGGACTTTAAAAAAAAAATTCAGGACCAAATTTTTTCTCAGAGTATGTATGTGTTTGTTCCTTATAGCTGTAAATGAAAAGACTGTTTTTTCTCACCGATGCTCCATCCTCGTATTGTTTTTTTTGTTTTTGTTTTTTTTTTTTCCTTGTAAATGTAATCGGATGCCATTTTATAAGTGGACGTATTTATACTGGCCAAACATTTTTGACTTGTATTTCTTTGTCCTTTTTTGGTAGTTCTCGTTGTTACCCGCACCATTTTTATGTCTCCTTCACTGAAGGGCTAGAGTTTTAACTTTTAATTTTTTATATTTAAATGTAGACTTTTGACACTTTTAAAAAAGCAAAAAGAGAAGAGAGATGAAAACGTTTGATTATTTTCTCAGTGTATTTTTGTAAAAAATATATAAAGGGGGTGTAAATCGGTGTAAATCGCTGTTTGGATTTCCTGATTTTTAACAACAGGGCCGCTGGTTAGTATCTCACACGCGTGTGCGCGCTCACGCTCACTCACACTCACACACCCACGAATCAGCCCCTATTTTGTCCATGTTTACACTCCAATCTGCAGGCATCTTAAAGTGACAGCATGAAGCCTGAGGCGTATACGCCGTGTGCTGCCGTTTTGGGGAGAAACCCGCCCCGAAATGGAGCGCGGCAACTGGTGCATTCACACAGAAGGGATCCTGTACCTTTAACTTGTAAACCACATCTTTTGCACTTTTTTTATAAGCAAAAACGTGCCGTTTAAACCACTGGATCTATCTAAATGCCGGTTTGAGTTCGCGACACTATGTACTGCGTTTTTCATTCTTGTATTTGACTATTTAATCCTTTCTACTTGTCGCTAAATATAATTGTTTTAGTCTCTTATGGCATGATGATAGCATATGTATTCAGGTTTATAGCTGTTGTGTTTTAAGATGAAGAAAGTGAAAACATCTTTGTACATTTAAGTCTGTATTATAATAAGCGAAAAAGAAGATTGTGTGTTTATGTATGTTAATATAACATGACAGGCACTAGGACGTCTGCCTAATGAGGTGGTTCCGTTAAGGGTTTAACTTGTTTTGTTCTTTTTGTTATTTTTTTGGTCATCCATCCTGTGCAATATGCTGTGTAGAGTTCTTTTTTTT